TTGAAACATAGTTTCTCAGATGTAAATCAGTACAAAAAACAGTTGATTTCAGTTCATGAGAAATATGTTATCAAGAAAATCGTTCAATAGTTGGTTGTATGAACGACTATTAGTTTTTCTACAAAATGTCGATTTTTCGATAATCGAGATTACGTGTAGATATGCACCAGTCCAGTCGGACTGGGTGCCCAGTCATAATTGGTACCGGTCATGACTGGGTCATCAATCATTTAATCTTTAATTTATTACATGAATAATATCTCCCTCTTTCTTATCACATTAAATCAAACTCATCTTAGCCTATTAAGGAACTAATACGAGTTATATCATAGAAAAAATAACTATGATATGACTTGTATTAGTTCTTTAATACGTTAAGATAAGTTTATTATATTATAATATGATAAGAAAGAGGGACATATTATTTTTATAATAAATTAAAGATTAAATGATTGATGACCTAGTCAGGACTGGGCACCAGTCATGACTGGAACTGGTGCATACCTAATTACGTGTGCTTCGCACCGCATTTCGTATACGAGTCTCGACTCGTGTGCCATCTAGTTTCTTTATTTTGCTGTTAATGTTCTATTGTTTAGATCTTTTATTACTAAATTTAGTCGTCTGGTCGTTCTGAGTATGAAAAAGTGAGAAATAGAGCCCGTCCGAGCAGATCCAGACCCGCATTCAGACGAGTTCTGATCCAAAAAAATTTAATCAGTCGGATCCTGACCTGGGTCCAAAATTTTTGGACCGAAAGGCTCTAGTGAGAAGTGAAGATTTATTGATTGGCCTTGATTCTTAGCTGCTAACACAGAAGAGAAATTTCGATTCTTAGTGCACCTGTTAACTTTTCATCTTTCTTTCCGCTATTAGAATTTATAGGAGAAACAGCAAAAATTCGTAGTTTAATATCATATTACCTATAGTTTTTGTCGAAGAGTACAAAAGAGATTCATAATAGTACAGATTTTATGTGTCAAAAATAGAACATAATGTCTATAGAACTTTTATTTTCTTCTTGATTTGTTTTAATTCATTAAAAAACAAACAATTGTAAAGTTAGACAAAGAACCATGAAAAAATCTACTACAATATTTGTTTCAACTAAAAGTATTTATTAAGTATAATCATCTAATTTTTTTCGGGCAATTTTAAAAGAAATGTTAACAGAATTGTTTCTGATCGTTCATTTTTTGTTTAATGAAGAAAAAGCAAACTTTTTTTTTTCTTTAGTAATTATTCTTTTCATCTTTTATTTCTTTAAGTTCGATCGAATTTAAAAGCTGGTCGCTATAATAGTCTTTTAACAAGACGATGGTTGCAATATCTACGTACACCTCAATCAATCAGTATGTTATTCAAATATATTGGTTAGAGAGAAAAAATCAATTTAATCAAATTATTCTTATTTAGACGAACATGTAACTGTTTTTGAACAAGATCTTTGTCAATTATTTGAAGGATTAAAACAATTTGTCTTTCTCAATATTTATGGTACAATTCCTGTTGAAAAATTCGAGCCTTATCGTTTAATGACTCAATGTCGCTTTCCAAATAGTCAATTTGATATTCAAATATCAAGATTTCGTCTATGGATATGATTATTTTCCTAATAGGACATAGTCAGACGTTAAATAAAACTCTCATGTTCTTCTTTCTCTCTAATTGTTAAATCATCAAGACTGGTTTATGTGATTCATTGTTTTCTTTTTCAAAAAACAACAAAATTGATATTCATCTGTAAACACATTCTTTTTTTTAAAAGAAATATCACATACAAAACAGAATTTCTAGTCAATAGTCATATTCATAACAGAAATATGATAAACTATGTACTTAGAATTACTATTATTGTTGTTCTATTATTACAACGCAAAAGTAATAAATACCACAAAATATGTCGACACATACATTAACATAAAATGATACT